ATACGCACGGGGCCGTTTAGTTGATCCCGCGGTTTTCTGCGCTTTAGCTTAGATATGCCATGTGCTAACGCACCTATTCGTGAGTCATCGGACAAAACTGTACGCACTAGAGATGTAGTAGAAGAGCAGACCACACAAAGACCGCCCAGCAAGGACCTCAGTCGTACCGTCACACTTGCTCGCATGCACACACAAGCGCAAGGCACCCGCGCACGCGAGCAGATAGGCTCTACGTACGTACACGTACCAGGGGGACGTAGTGCACTGAAAATCACCCGGCTCGCCTAATCACACGCAAGCGCATTGCGCCAAACTCTAAAAACTTTGACCTGCTAAAGTCTGCTGGTGCGCACGAATTAGGGTTATGATAGTGGAGCTTCCCGCTTCTCGGGACGAGTTAGCTTCGTAATGTTCACTACTGCGGCTGTTCGTGAGCGACTGAGCCGGTGGGACACTCTGGCCGCCCTCAGCGACCGGCAAAAGGAATGCTTCCTCGAGCTCAGCAGCACAGCAGCCAACAGACCTGTCCCTGAGCACGTAATGGGGGGAAATCCCACTGTCACCTACCAGTTCTCACCGTATTGCTACTTTCAGCTCCCTACAGAGGATGGGGTGGTTGCAGATGTGTCTGGCTCACTGTCCAGCCAACTGGACAGCATACAAACTTCTCAACAGGTCCCTTGGCCGTAAGATGTCGTGTTTTACTATGGTTGGAGGTACACTACTCAAGTGTTTTGATAAGCAACATAAGTAATAGACGATGAGATTTGACGTTCCAACTGCACCAAGGACGGGCCCAAGGCTTCCTAAATCGCATAGTTATCTAGAGTGTGGCACGCTGGAAACATAAAACCGTTAGTGTTCCTCATTAGTATTCCTCCTGCTTAGTCATCCTACAGAGGAAACTACATGGACTAGCTTTCTTCCAGTTGACCAATCAGATTACCTGCACAATCTATACCGTATGTGGCAATTTCACTCGTTTATATGTGTTCAATTGGGTCTAGATTAATGTTTAAGTTCAGGTCAGGCACGCATGGGCTAAATGAGGAACTGGGCAGGCATAGGGGGAGGGAGGGGGTGAAAGAGTGCCTGTTGTGTGATGATGAGTGTGAAAGTGTGAGTCATGTGTTGTGGGAGTGTCCAGCATATAGTAGTCTTAGGAGCAATTTCTTAGTTGCCCTGCAGGGGAAGCTTGGGGATGATGGGTTTGAGCATTTCCAGTCGCTTGATAGTTTCAGGAAAGCATCCTTTATATTGGGTAGTGAACTGTGGGAGGATAATTTTGGTTCTTTGCTTGGCCTTGTTAAAGATTTTATTTTGGATGTTTGGGAGCTAAGAAAGGTTAGGTTATACGGCGATAGTCCCTGTGTACAACAAACCCAGTCTCAGATTGCGTCTGGGGAGCTGCAGGGTGTCCCTGGTGGAAGGGGTGAGTTGAGGTGTCTGGGAGGTGAGACAGACACCTCATGTTCATATGGTGTATGTTCGTGTGTTAACGGTTCCGCCCATTGCTCTGGGTGCGTGGTCTATGGCCCTAGTGCTATGGCAGCCACCTGAGTATTATTATATGTGTTCAATATGTGCACCGCACAGTTCATGGCCTGGTGTGCTGAAGTGGAGGCTCAGGCTGAGAGCGAACAGGACAAATGCTACAGGTGTGGTTTGATTTTCTTTCTCGCTTTCTTTCCGCAGTAGAGGTACCGGTGAAGCTTATTTTATCATTGAACTGAAATGTGACTATAGCACATATGTATGCACACATTGAAGTGAACCAATTCCATAAATCACAAGTTTTAAAACACTGTACTGGACATTTACACATGTCCATGGAGTGTGTTGGATACATAGATATGATCATTGCAGTAACCAGCTAGTATTAATGATGGTGTGTGTGGGTTGTGATCTGTGTATCCAGGGAGTACATAAGCCAGCTGAGCCAGTACCGGTGTCAGTGTGGGGAGATGTTGGAGGAGGCAGAGTCGGCCCTGGTCACCCTGGCCAACATGAGGGAGAGACACCAGTTTGTCTCCCAGAGGACTGGGGCACTCCACGGTGCCTGCCAGCAGCTCATGGAGGACCAGGTTAGACTGTGGGTGTAGCTGACCCCGACATGAGGACTAAAATATATGCCCTGTCTTGATCTTGCATTCATAACCAACCAAAGCTTTTGAGCACACATCTTGAAACTAAAACGATGACCAATTCATGATAAGCTGCACAGAGTAGTGGATACACAATATGTGACTTTGATCTTTGCAGTAATTTATTGGCAGAATTGTAAAAGTAAAAGCATATATTATGCTGCATCAGAATCATTTTAGTTCTTTTACATATAAGACTGAAGTTCAAGCAGTAGTTGGTACAATGCTATAAAATAGGCAGCTGTGGAATATTGTCGGAGTCCTAGTTTGTCTACCTTTTTACGATTATTTATTTCTTGATGGTTTGTAGCTGTGGCTTCAAAAACATTATTTTCTCACTGTTAACGTCTCCACTGTTGTGTAGACAAAACTGGTGAACCTGGCAGAGAGCATCAGCTCCAAGCTGACCTACTTCACTGAGCTGGACCGGATCGGTACCAGACTGGGCTCTCCGGCCTTCTCGGTCACATCCGACGGATTCCTCCCCCTCCTCTCACGACTGGACGAGTGCATCAGCTTCACCGAGCAGAATGTGAGTGCCATAACTGGCGTGTCATAACTGGCGTTCCAGAACTATTATTTCTCTATACAGTATTTGGTTATGTATTTCATAGAGTAGTTTGAGCCAGACATTTTTGGGAAAGAAAGCAGGTTTTTTCGTTTGTTCAATAGACTGTATAATTTATTATATAGTTGGTGGCCGGTGGATTTTAACTCTTAGCGGACGACGCGTGCATGCACGAAATTTATTGCATGGTTGTTTGTCACTTTACAAGCTGCTTGTATAAACGCGGGTTGTTTGCGTTCTTTTGGCAGCCAAAAGAATGCCGCCCACAGGCGCTAAAGTACTCCAGGGGGTTTCCCAGTTGTAGTTGGGTGTAGCCTTGAGGAGTGGCTGGCTGCAATTTCTGAAAGAGACGCGCGAGAGCTACATAAGTAAACGCAAAGCGTTTGCTTGTCACAGCGTCTGTGACATCCGTCCGTAAGGTGAGTAATTCCTGTCACATACGCTGTGACATCCGTCCGCAATGAGTTAATGAGTTAATTAACCCTTGGAAAGCATGCACAGCAAAGGTTTATGGTACTTGGTCTGTCTATCTGTGTGTTGTGCCACCTCATGCAACCAAAGTGGTGCCAAAAGGTTCAGTGCCAACAGGTTCAACGGTACACTTTATTTGTCATGAAAACCAAGTGAAGTCCTGTTCACTTTAATGAGCTGTTGATATTAAGCTTTTCCATTTACTGTGCATGTGCATGTGGTAGCATAAACCTCAAAGAGACTCACGAAACAAGTCCGTATCTGTAACCCATGCTATACTTAGTTTTGTTAAAGGTTGTCATAATAACCTTCTCAAACATGCAAGTGCTGGAAGACATTCCTCTATTATTACACACTCCACACTGAACAGCTACACTACAAGGAGTCGCAGGTCTACCTGACTAGGTTCAGACAGTACCTGTCCAGGGCTCTGGCCCTCGTGAAGCAGCACGTCGTCTCCACGCTGCGACTCACCACCTCCTCCGTCCTCCCCAAACCAGTGAGTACAAGTTACGCACACATACGTATGTAAGCCACAAAATAGGGGCACGGAAGTGTGTACTTAACTCCTGGTGTAGTATGTTTATATTAATGAAGTGCTGAAACATAATCTACAGGGGGCAGTGGCTGTATTGTCGGAGAATAGCTATGCTCAGTTCTATGGCAAGTTCCGCAGCAGTGCACCAAAGATCAAGGTGAGGATAACATGCAGTGTGACTGTACAATACATTACTACACTTATTAACCCTCGGCACGCATGCGCACCAAGGGTTACAGTAGTTGGTTTGTCTGTCAGTCTGTGTGTGTGTGTCGATGTTTATTCTGACACTACGGCTACGAGGCGGCCTAGTAGCGATGCCATCGGCTTCAGAACTATGCAAGCCTGAAAACAGTGATTTTCCTGAACCTATGCGTTTGAGAGATATGCCGTGAAAACAAGAGAAAAAGCCCCCAATATGCATAATCACACTGGGCTTACCGTGACCTGATCCGCTCACTTTGTGTACCTTGGAGTCTCAAGAAGTCACAACTAAGGGCATGTGTATCAACTCCCGCATGCTATTTGGTTGTGTAGCTAGCCCATGTCATACCCTTCGCAAACTACTAGTTTGGAGACCACAAGTAAACGCATACTCTTGGCCCAACCCATCAATTAGCGGTACCGCGCATTTACAGTGCGCCGAGGGTTTGCACGTTAGTGCTTTTCATTACATAATGTACACATCTTGTAGGCACTAATGAAGGAGATTGAACTGAGAGCAGACACTGCTGCAGAGTAAGTCTTTCCCAAGCCAAGGAAAAAGCTTGGTGCTCAAGTACATATTGTTGTTATCAAGAGCAACATTGCCTAATGTCATTGCGTTGCATAGAATTACAGTGGAACCTCAGATAAAGGACCCTCCGAGATAGGGACAACCTCTCTACAAAGGACACTTGTTTTAACCCTATGCTATTCTTGTATTATTATTTGACATCCATGATAGGGACAACCTCTACAAGGGAGGACAAAATTGTTTGACCCATAGTGTCCCTTGTTCAGAGGTTCCACTGTATTCACATTGTGCGTCTTTAGGATGCTTGATTATACATCTCCTCCTCCTCCTCATCGCCAGGTACAAGAATCTTCTCCATGACTGTTGCCATAGCTATGTGGGTCAGAGAGGGCTCCTCCTGACCTCGTCCGTCCACTCCTCTCTGGCCCAGATCACCCAGCAGCACTCCACTGACTCCACTGCACTGGTCAGAACAGAAACCCTGCTCACTCCATGTTTCATGATCCATGATAAACTGAAGGCTTATTTGATGAACTATGCACAGTCTCTATACACCAAGCAGTTTTTGCCCTTTCTGGATAGTATATGTCGATATACAGTGGAACCTCCGATAAAGGACCCTTCCGAGGACGACCTCTCTACAAAGGACTCTGTTGTCAACCCCATGCTACTTTAGGGTATTATTTGACCCCTGAGATAGGGACGACCTTCTTACAATTGTTGGCCCCATAGTGCCCCTTTGTTCGGATGTTCCACTGTAGTACATGCACACTTCATGTTGTGTTGCAGGTGAGGGCCGGGTGTGACTTCATGTGTCGTGTGTGTCAGGATGAGTACCAGCTGTACTTCCACTTCTTCAGTGTCGACAGTCCTGAACTCAAGTCAGTCTCAAACATCATTAACCATGTACATCTACGTATATATAGCATCATACGTAGTATGTAGTTAGTCTGCACTGGCGAAAATCAATAATGCGTCGTACACAGCAAAGAGAAAATCGAGTACTTTAATCAGGGAAGGTTGCGAAGGAAGTGTTATTGCTATACACACTACGCTTAGACTACATAACAACCAGATTGGTGTGAAGTAATAACTAAAAATCTGGTGGTGCACACATGTGCATATGTTGCAGAGAAAGACTCTGTGCATACGTAATACAAACATAATGGGATTCTCTTAATATGAAGTTAGTAAGATTACTCGTTTTCAGATGTGTACGTGATATACACATGGATACGAACGTATGTAAATAGAATCAGTCACTGTTGTACTGTGTAGAGGTCTGTTGGAGAGTCTGTGCTACACTCTGTATGATGTACTGAGACCAGTGGTGATCCATATCAACCACTTGGAGACCCTGGCCGACCTCTGCAGCATACTCAAGGTCACCTGTTGTATATACACATACACGTAGCAATGAAGTATATATGTAGCAAGACAAAGGCAAAGCAAACGAGTCAACTACACCTGTATTTAGCTACTGGGGTTTTTACCATAGAGTTCAGTTGTCTCACGTTTTGCTATATGGACTGCTCCACAGGTTGAAATGTTGGAAGAGATCGTATCTCAAAAAGGTATTTAGCACTAAGTACGGTAGTACTTAGTATATAGGGATGGGCATGGTACCTAGCATCATAGATGTATGGGGCTATGATAGGGAGTTTTGTTCATCATCATCTTCTTCTTCTTCTTCAACCAGCATAACTCAAAAACCAAAAGAGATAAAGCCATGGATAGGAATATACATATCCATAACTACATGTGCAACGTCATACTTTTTTGTTTGTGAACAATGTTGTTTACTGTAAACAACAACAAAAGGCCCCAGGCAATACATTATAATGGGCATACTACATGTGTCAGTGTAACGTACACAATTGGTAAATGAAGTTTAACGCAGTTAAACGTAGTTAACGGCAGGAACTGGCTCACACGCCACGCGCACACCGGAGCACGCACGAATGGCTGGCCTAATAGGCCGCAACACAGGGTTGTACATGTGCACATGGCGGGGCTGCCCCAAAGGTGCGCAGCGGATTTAGGCACAGAAACCTGCGCAACGGTTGCAGAGAGCAACCAACGCTGCAGTGCAGTCTCACTCTGAGAGCATTTCAGTTCAGTGGTGCTAGCAAATGTTTTCGCAGTCACAGATGGCGTACCCATTCACTCCCAGTGAAGTACAGTATCTCCGGGCCTGCGGTCTGGCACTGCCGCCGCCTGCCCTCTCAACCAACCGCGACGGCGAGCCTGCAAAAGTCCTGCGCAACCCGCTAACGGCAACCGACTCGGCTAGGCCCGACGAGCCAGCGCCCGTCGCCGGCCCTTCATGTATGTTATCTCAGGGTTAGGAAGTAGTATGCATGGGAAAGTAGTTGCTGCACGCCCGGCCTCCAGTGCACGCTCCGACCGCCAACCAGCCCCGTCTGGGTTGCGGTTTTCCGCCCCACACGATGTTGTTCCCCCTGTGGCCCCATCGAGAGCCTTCCCTTGCGTCCTTTCTTCATTGTGTACCCGCCAGGCCTCGCTGGCCGATGCAGCAGCCTACCGGACCTGTCGGCACCCCGCAGGGTCCCCGGGGATTTAATAGCTAGTCTCTCTTCTCTACTTGTATTCCCCACACGGGCTTGCCACAACATTTTGCAGTCTTCACTGCAGTGACTCAGTTATGTCATGCTGGAACAACGGCTTTGCCGGAGACATTGCTGACGTTTTTGCCATCAGGTGGCTCTGGCCTTAACCTACTGGCAGCTGCTGCCGCCGCCGCCCGGTCAGGCACAGTAGGGAAAGGGAAGCTCCTTCCACTGGCTCGGTGCTCCCTCATCTTGCCAGCCTGTCCTGCAAGGCGCCGTACAACCCGGCCGCGGTCCTTCCACGAAGACTTGGAGTTCGTCGAGATGTCAGACATCTCCCTCGATTATTTCCCGCCCACACCCCAGGACAACCAGCCTCCCAGCTCGCCCCGCCGATCCAAAACATCTCGGTGTGGATGGAGAAATTTTCAGTGATAGCCGCCCTTATCTCGTCGCGGTTCCCGGAGAAGGCTCCAAAGCTCTTCGCCTACCAGGCTTTGATCGCCCGGGCCGAGAGGAACTTTGATGATCGGCGGTGGGTGTCATATGACAGATGTTATCGGAGGGAGGCACTGGCTCTGGACTGGTCAGTATCCAACGCTCGCCTCTACAACAAGGCTTTCACTGGCCACGCCTGAGCGGTTCCGCGATGCCTGAGCGGTTCTGCGATGTTCCTTCTGCCTCCAGGAGGATCACTTGGCCCAGTATTGCCCCAGAAACCCCAACCGCCTGTGGTGTGGGTGGCTTGGGGATACGTCCCTGCAGTCGTCACAGTACCCCAATCAATAAGGGTCAGGACGAGGAGCCCAGTCGGCCGAATGCTGTCGCCGGTTTGACGATGGCAGATGTAAGCAGTCACCATCCACATGCCAGTATGCACACCGGTGCACCGATTGCAGTGGCCCCCATCCTCGGCTGCACTGTACACGGGACGGCCATCAAGGGGGCAGTGCAAGACCGCGTTCTCACCTCGCCCGCCCCCGCCAGCAGGGTCGTTCCTTCCTACCCCCAGCAGCTACCGGTGTTCCAAGTAACATCAGACGCCTCTAGCCATTGGGGCTGTGGTGCATGGTCAGAAGAGAATTGGTTTCAGGTACCATGGGATGTCAACACCCTAGATCTGCCCATGGGTGCCCATGGTATGCCATTGCGACAATCAGGCAATAGTCGCCTGCCTTCACTCCCGAACAAGCAAGCACAAGGGTATCATGCATTTGCTGTGGGCCCTGGTTTTTATCGAGGCCTACAACCAGTTCCACCTCGTTCCCTGTTACATAGACACACGTGCAAACCATCTGGCAGACGATCTGTCCCGTGACCGCATTGTTTCCTTTCTTTCAAAGCATCTATGTAAGCATCTTCACTGCCAACACCTGTGCCGCAGGTTCTCGTCGACCTCCTTCTGGATCCGAGGGCGGAGGGGATATCCACAATGGCAGGATCAGTTCAGAGCTTTTTTGAACAAGGTTTAGCCCCTTCCACACGGAAAACATACGCCGCCGCTTCCAAGTGGTTCTACAACTTCTGTACGAAATTTCATCTCCTCTCCCCATTCCCCGTTACCGAACACACTCTCTGCTGCTTTGCCGCCTTTCTTGTGGACGAGGGCCTGACTCCACAGACAGCCAGGTCCTACCTGGCAGCCATGCGGAACCTGCAGCTATTCCTTGGTCTCCCTTACCCACGGGGGACCAGTCATCTCTTCCTATTCTGAAGAGGGTCATCGCAGGCATCAGCCGGGCGCATTTGACTCGGGGCTTTGCACCAAAGAATGTGATTACCCGTAACAGTCCTAATCCTCGCCCAGATCCACAACACCCTGTCCCAGCGACCAGGACCAGAGAGCACCCTTGTATGGGCCATTGCTGCCAGAACATTTTAAGGCTTTTTTCGTTTGGGAGAGTTACTGGTTTAATCACCGAAATATTTCAACCCATCTACTACCCTATACTGGGGAGATTTGCGGTCGATTGCAGGACATCCCCATCCATGGTAAAACTCCTCCTTCGATGCTCCAAATGCGATCAGTTTGGAAAGGGGGTGGACATCGTCATGGGCTGCACAGATACACCACTCTGCCCTGTCGTGGCGATCCTGGACTACATCAGACTCCGCCAAGATCATCCCAGAGCGTTCTTCCGGATGGAGGATGGCACCCCAACCACCAAGGGCTGGTTCAGTGGCAAACTCAGGGGAATCCTCTCTTCCATTGGTCTCCCCCGGGGTGATTATGCCGACCACAGCTTCAGGATTGGGGCGGTCACCACAGCAGCAATGGTGGAGTGGAGGATTCCATGATTCAGGCCCTTGGTCGCTGGAGAAGTGCCGCCTTCCTGCAGTATATTCGTACGCCACGAGATCAACTGGCAGCCATTTCACGGCAACTCGCCACCACAGTATCCTCTCCCGCCGCCGGACTTAACTATCTGTCGTAGTGTTCTGTCCCTCATTTCACTTATACCCTATGTGCACATCCCTAATAATGGTTTTGGAGGAGTACCTACCTCCACAGTCTTGGCCGGTTACCGCGCCCCTCCCACAAGGAGTTGTGCGAGGGGCTTGGAAATAGCTCCTCCCAAAACCACAAGAAGCGGGGGGTAATGGAAATCACGTGAGCTGGGTTGCGTTTCCATGGCAACCACAGCATATGCATTGTGTCATAGCCACCCAGTCACGTGGGCAATACATACCCATGTCCTATTGTGCCACGACCAGCGCCGGCCGGGATCCTGGGTAGGTAATTGCCATCATGTGTCCGACACAGTGGTACGTTTAAAGAACACTGATACTACTATTTATTAGTGTATAGAGCTAAATGAAGTTTAACGCAAACATAGTTAATGGCAGGAACTGGCTTACACGCCATGCGCTCGCCGGAGCACGCACGAATGGCCGGCCTAATGGGCCGCAACACAGGGTTGTATGTGCGCATGCGCGTGGGCGCCCCAAAGGCACGCGGCAGCATTTAGGTGCGGAAACCTGCGCAACGGTCGCAGGGAGCAACCAACGCTTCATTTCATTCTGACTCTGAGAGCATTTCAGTTCTGCGAGTAAATTAAAAAAAGTAAATAAGTAAATTTAAAAATCTTCGATTGCCATCATCCATTGCATATAGGGATTGTGTAATGGGATCGGGGGTGTCCGCGTGCTCAAATCTGTTCATTAACCATGCGTCATGTATCCCATCCCTATCTTGCTCCCTTTCTTTTTATAATATGTCTCTTTTTTTAGATTCGCAGGATTTTTAATTTACTTGTTTATAGTAGCAAGTGAAGCGAGATAATATTCGTCTGAATTGGCATGAGGCTTCTGTATATGTATTACCATGTTGCTGTCACCCTACCATCATTTCCAACATGATTCTCAATACATGTAGGCATGTAACTTTAATTTCACAAGTGCTGCTGCATGCCCCTGTAGCTGCTTTCGTTCACAAATTGTTCTAGTGAATATTTTAAGCACACGATGTTGTCTTTGTTTGCAGGGCAAGAGCTGGCGGTGTTTGGTACTGTAGTAAGACAACTTCTGGGAGATGCTCAGCAGAGGATTGTCTTTAGAGCTCAGGTTAGCTCAATCCACAGTTGCTACAGACTTGTATTCATGTGCTTTATTTAACATTTCCTGCGCTGTTGTATGCCCTTGTCACACCATGTTTCATAACAAGAAACTAGAACCCGGTATGCTTTATTGCTCATGCACATTACCTAGAACTTTTGACTTCTTTGGTTTTATGAATCATAGTCAAGTTAGTCAGCAACACACTCATGTGTATATTGATGTATGTTCTAGAGCCCTAACCCTACCCATGACTTGTGCTGTACTGTACCCAAAGCGCTACATTCAGACTGACATTCGAGGCTACTCCCCGGCCCCTGGGGACCTGGCGTACCCCGACAAGCTGGTGGTGGCGGGCCAGGTGGTGGCGACTGAGGCTGGCCTGGACCCCGACACCACTGACTCCGACTCTGTCTTTGACACCAGCGGAACTGAGGTCTGCTCACTGAGACATTGTGTCAACGACTAGGTATCGAGGTAGAAGGGCAACGCAAAGCAAACATGTCAACTATACCCAGAATAGCTCTTTCTTTTTAACTGCCCTGGGTGGGATTTGAACCCACGACACTCTGGTTTCCAGGCGAGCACTCTACCAACAGTTCTACTAGCTACATGATACTGAGTGCATGGGTGTCACATTGTAATTTTCTAGCTATTCATTTAGGGTAATCTTTTTTCCAGCTATGTAATGGGGTTACTTATTGATTCCTCTTGGAGGTCTGTGTAGATACGATCCTATAAAAAAAATGTACATACATATTTCAGGTTCAGTCCCCTACACCTTGTCCATACACGTACATAGGTACAATACAGTCATACATATTACATGGTTGTGTACAGAGATTAGGCAGTGTTCTATTTTTTGGAATCAGAGTTTACTAAATGAAAGTCACGGAGAACAGAATGTTATTTGTACAATTCAATACACAGTACATTATAAGACCAGGGGTTGGGGTTAGACTAGACAGTAGAAAGCAGTAAACCGTGATTTATAGTAGTGACCATTGTTTTCTGTGTTATGTGGAGCAGAGTGACACAGGAGGAGGGGCTGGGTCTGAGAGAGGGGGAGGAGGGAGGAGGAGGAGGAGGAAAGGGAAGAGGGTGGCAGCAGTTGACATGCACGACATGTGGTACCCCACAGTCAGGAGGACCCTTCTCTGCCTCTCTAAACTCTACCGCTGCATCGATGTTAGTGCAACATGCAGACCCTTGCATGTACCGTAACATGTCTTTGTGGGAGTTGGCATTGTCATCTTTATCCCACCACTCCGCAGTTCTCAAAGCTAGACACCTGTACTCTCTTACCTTCGTGTATACGTGTGTGCAATGTACATGTGGTGTGTGTGTGTGTGTGTTGTGTTTGTCAATTTTCTGTACTTGGGTTCTTTCTCGTCTGTCTTGATCTGCTATACATGTGTTTTCCCCATGTATTGTTGAGTTTCTTGTGATGTTTCATTTGCAGAAATCGATTTTTGAGGGCATAGCACAGGAGGCTTTGTCAGAATGTGTCAAGTCCCTGTGCTCAGCAAGTGGAACCATGGCCAGCAAAAAGGTATGCTGCAAGCTTTCTACCTGCAGTATAGCAGTATCGCCACTCAGTGTGTGTGCTGTGGGTTTTCTGTGTAACATGTACAGCCATCACTGCGTGCAAGCATTATAACTGCCACCCCAGTGTATTTATGTACTCTGAGTCATACATATACAGCCATCGGTGGATGCTCAGCTGTTTCTGATCAAGCACCTCCTCATCCTGAGGGAGCAGATTGCTGCGTTTGACGTTGAGTTTGCTGTTACTGAATTCTCCCTCGATTGGACCAAAACTACTGGTACAGGTTTTTACCACACCATAGCATGCATTGGGCACCTAAGTATACATTGTGTATATAAGTGTGTTGTTTGTCATGTTAGTGTACTTGGTTAGACGGTGACTTCGGCTCTTTCTCTCCTTGTATACTGTACAATTTTTAAAGGGCCTATTATTTGCTGTTCAAATTAGAAATTCTTTTTGCTTCGGACATCAGTCATTGCACTGTCCTCAAGAAATCTTGACTTTTTTGTCAATCCTACAGCTGCTATGTATGAGCTGCTGAAGAAGAAGTCTCGTCTGTTCTCGTTTGGCAGTAATAATGCATTCCTGGAATTCTTCCTGGAGGGAGTCCCCGGTCTACTCCAGACTCAGATGGACTCCAAGAAAGTGAGGCAGCCCCTCTCGTTACAACCTCATTATTGTTTTGTACAAAAGTACAGTAATGAGATGAAAAGCACTGAAGTAGAAAACCCTCGGTGGAGTGCTAGCTGTATATATGCATGCATAAAAAGCACGGCTGATAGATGGTTTGCCATGGCATGCGATTGCTGGCGATGTTTGTTTCTCAATGAGACACACTGTGTTTTGTTCTAGGGCACACCCTTGGCTATTCGTGCAGTTGTCAGTAGAGAAGAGAGTGTCCCACATCCTGCAGGAGGTGGATGTGCAGTTGAAGGCAGTGTGTGAGAGGTTCATATCAGACATGACCTCTGGACTCACTGTCCCATTGAAGGACTTCCTGGCCAAGTGTGATGTCATCTTCCAGCTGGCCGAGAAGGACCGCTTGGACCCTGCCAGCACCCTGCTCCAGCAGCCCTTTGCTAAAGCTGGTAATAAATGATAGACTGAAAGCAAATGTACGTATGGGCATCTACATAATTATACATTTGTATACTTACGTCAGTAGAAAATTATTTCAACAAAAATTGGTGTCATTATTTTATATCGCCGAGGGTTACTACTCTGTACAACTGCAACCTGTGCATTTTGTGTACATCTGTCACACCAAGCAGACGCAGAAAAAGCCTCTTCCTTGAAATAGTAATGGTCATGCTGTTAAATTGTGTCGTTGCAGATGAGGTTCACCAGGTGGTGGTGCAGGGGAACAAACTTATCAAGACAAAGGTCCCCGCACTGCGTCAGAGTCTGGCATTGTATCTGGCGAACGAGGAGACTGAGCATATCCTCTTCAGACCTGTCAAGGTCCTCATTTCACTATATAAATGCTAATTTTCTCTGTCATGTTTATTAACCCTCGGTGCGCATGCGTACGTATTCGTGAGTGTGTGTGTGCGTGTGTGTATCCGTTTTTCTTTTACCACGTTTTCTGTGACTGACAACAAAACAGCGATACAAACAGGGTTCATCGCTACACTGGCTTTATTTTTTAAAAGGGCGATTTTCGTGTAACTTATTGCGTTCAAAAGTTATGGCGTGAAAAGCAAGTGAACAAGACAATATGCAATTTAGCACTAGGCTTACCTCAACCGGATCCGCTTGCTCTGTGTATCTTGAAGGCACACTCAATGCTGTCTACTGCTGTAGCAGCCAGTGTCTGACTCTCCGCGAGCTACTAGCAGGAGGCCACAAGCAAACGCATACTAATAGCTCAGCCCATCAATTAGCGGTACTTCCAGTGGAAGCTCCTGCATTGGTTCAAACACTGCAACTGATGCAGCTTGTGTGAGGTGTATACCGAGAGCTAGCCAACCTTTTACTAGTTCTTTCTGTGTGTGTCAGTAATAGGCGTGTGAAGCAAGTATACCTAGTTGTCTGAATTCTAATGAGCCATTGCCCATCTTTCAGTAATGTCCTTCATGATTCTAAATACACACATGCACATAATTTTATGTAACTACAATTGTTCCTGCATGTACCTGCAAGCCTCAAGTTTACCAACCAAAATGCATTACATTCGTTCTAGTATATATCAGAGTAATTATTTCACCCCTACAGTAATGTCCTTTGGATAAATTTGCATTCGTTCTATCATCTTTCTACAGGCCAGTGTGTTGCAGGCGTACGAGGCACTGGAGAGGATAGCCGTACGCTACTACTCTACCTCCGACCAGTTCATTATCTCAACTCCCACTCAAGACCAGGTATGGAAACGTGGCTCTAGCATTGTGTATGTATATAGGCCACAATTTCCTATAGTTCAAAGTTTGATGCAAATCTGCTATGGAAGACAAACGTATAGCTAGACGTCTGCAGTGGAAACTACAAAAAATGATGAAAAGGCACTGAAGTGCAAACCCTCGGCGAACTGCGCGGTACCGCTAATTGATGGGCTGGGCTATTAGTATGCATTTACTCGTGGTTCCTGCTAGTAGCGCTCGCGGAGAGTCTGACACGGTCTGCTACAGCAGTAGATAACATGCGGGATTCGATACACGCCCTTCGTTGTGACTACTTGTGCCTTCAGAGCAAGCGGACCCGCTAGGGGTGGACATAATTATGTAGTTCGGCAGTTGTGTGCCTCTCTGCCGCCATGTGTATTGTACAGAAAATCAAAACTGCAGTGTCTTTAGTCTTTTTCTATGTCACAAGTTTTTTAAAGCCAATCTATCACCATAATACACCTATGTATATTATATATATACAATATCAATGAATGCATGTGATCTCAGCAACACCCAGAGTAAATAAGCAGGCTTTTTTTAACCAAAACACCCCCAATTAAGAAAAGTGGACAAGGCTCAAAGCGCTGACATATAAACAGATTCCACTCTGACAAGTACATACCTATATCGTGGTGTCTTGAGCTTTTATTTGCGTACTTTATTTTAGGTCTCGTTAATGTTAGCGTTGACACAAGATCAAGATCACACCCAGGAACTACCTTGAAAAGGAATCATTGCAGTTCTATAGAATTGTGTCTGTAGGCATTTTACACATTCACTGCAAACATCTATGGTCCATGTGGTAAATGGTGGTCTGATGTTGCTAGATGCCTGTATTGCTTCTTGACTAAGCGGCTGCCATGGCTGTATTGTTAAGTTCATTTGTGTTTTAAGATTTTGTCCGACTCAAAACTGGCCATTAATATTTTTTACCTTATTCATATATACTACATTTTAATGAAGGAATTGATTTTGATCATGGGGTTACATAAGGGGGCGTGGTCACTTATCTTCTAGGTAGAAGTGGCACTATGGCTTGGCACTTAGTTGAAGAGCTGAGGAATGCAATTACATTCAAGGAGCCCAGCAGTAATATTATATCCCATATAGAAGACTGTGAAGTCCTGTTTTAGAGTCAAAATCTGGGCTCCTTGTAAAATAATACATTCCGCGTTCTCTGCATGCATGGCAGACTAGGCAACATGGCTGATCGCCACGATGATCCTTTTGAACCGCAGTACGATAACAATTGGGTACCGGCGAACAGGAGGCAGCCGGCTATACACGCTATCAGACCAATTTCCATGTTCATAACCTGTTTTTCTTCTGACATACTATGCATTGGGTAACCAACAACAAATTTCGTGACTCAAAACTTATATATGAAGTAACAAGGTGCAGTGGAATTCACTCGTTGACCCCTATCTAGAATGCGGTGTGATGTTAGAGTCGTCCCCCTCAGTGCATAATGTGCGCACATGGTCTCGAGGATAACTACCTGTCTCGTCTACCCACACAAACATATCCAAACAACAGTGCACTGTGCTGTGAATGCATGATCGACCGCAAATAGCACAATGTCTTTTGTTCTGCTATTTGCCTCACTTTGTTTGTAGTTAAGACTGGCGACAGATAGTTAGAGAAGCAGTAAGTTCGGTCACTAAGGTGCAAACCCTTGGCTAACTGCGCATGCGCGATACCGAGTCGGAATGGGCGGCCATAGGGGGAGGAGGAGGTGTCGCCGTAGTCTCTAAGGCGTCGTTTTCAATGCCTTAGCTCTGTACATCACAGTGTTTTTGTTCGTGTGGATGGCGTGGTGGACTTCTATGACAGTGTGAGGTGCCTGGCTGGTCAACTGAGCAACTTAGAAGCCCTGCTTGATGCAAACTGTTGGTTTGTGGATGTCATGGCGGGATGAATAGCCCCCTTGGTTCGCGTTACGCTGTCCAAACCGCGTGCGCGCGCTCATCAATTCCGCGGTAGTCACGGTATTACTTCGCGAGGAGAAGCGATGATGGAGAACAAATTTGGGACACAGTGGAAGCTCAGGTTCTACGCGTTAGTCGTTGGGCTACTAATAGTATCCAATATGACGACATTCATGTTCACTACTAGAGTTTTAGTCGGTAAGTAAACCAGTGTCTGTGTACTTAGCTATTAGTACAAAATTACATGCATGTATGTAGCTAGACAGAAAGTGTCAAAACTCTTACCTCACGCAGGCCAATGCTGAGAAAAATATTTATATTTAATGCTGTCCACAGTGAACCAGGGTTGACATGTTTGTTTGCTACAAGAGCAGTGCATACCCTTTCTTCTTGACTTTTTTACCCTTAGAGAAATGGCCTACTTCTTCAATCACTAACTCATTGCACAGGACAAAAACAAACTTAAAGTTCACTGGTACTGTGCTTATAGTATCGGTCCCAGACCCCGTCTAAAAGGGAGTGAGTGTGGTAACATTGCTATAATGGACACTAACATAATTCTGTTTACAGTCAGTAGCTAGCTACTGCTGCAAGAACTGGGAAGTAGGTGTACTCACAAGTAATTCAAGTGAAACTGTGGTCTGTCAGCCACTTCATAATTCGGCACAAGGCACTATTATTTATCTCCCCTTAGGAAGAGTGTGGGCACGAAACTACTGCATTTTAGGACGTGTTTATTTGCAGATTGCAGAAATTTTTTTAAAAGCATTGCAGACACTTTCTTATGGACTCTTATAGTGGAAAAGGCCTCCCTTTACATTCACTGACTGCACTGCACAGGTCTAACACCGTGCTAGCACTACACTTTGACCTAGGATGATAACTTGATAAGCAATAATTTTCATTTTTAACCACTTAGGCTCTCCCTCGTTAATCAAACTCCCATGGGTGCTCCACATTAGAGTACAGACCCCTTCTCTCTCATGCACACACCACGTAATATTGTATGAAGGGTCTGGGTATAATTATACTTGACTACATGCCTGAGAGACTAGACCCTGATGTGGTCATTACTGACAGTTTCACTGTATATATAGAGGTTGGTAGCTTAGGTAAGAGTTATGTGGGTTCTGATTGGGTAGGAAACAATTGAAGTGTGAAAACACTACAGGATTGGGTGGGTTTTAACAGTGTAGAATTTCTGCAGCTCAGCATCCAAATGGCCTTCACCATCTCACTGGTTCTCTCAATGATGACCAAAATGTGACGAAAGTGCTGGAGGAAACAACTGCCATCCCAGACACGAAGACGATATTTGTCATCACGCCAACTCACTCTTGCGTCACTCAGAAAATTGATCTCAATAGCATGTGCCACACCCTCATGAGTGTCCAAAAAGTAATATGGATAATAATTGAAGATTCTCAGAAACCAACCGACCTAGTAACAAAACTGATTCAAAGGTGCAATGTCGAGATAGTACACCTTGCGATCCCTACGAGCTCTGACTACAGGGCGGAAAAGGGTAAACCTGCACATTCAAAGTCTCGCGGAGTGGAGCAAAGGAATGCTGGTCTAAACTGGCTGAGAGAAAACTACAGTTCGCACAACTGCAGCGGAGTATTCTACTTCGGCGATGACGACAATAAGTACGATTTGAGACTATTTGAAGATGTAAGTGTGACTTCATTAACTCCCTCCTCTTCCTTCCCCCTCCTACTTTCTTTCCTGTCTTCTTTGTTTTCGAGCCAACTGCGATTCGGTATCAAGTGAAAACAATTTCATGGCGATAATTGCTATACAAAAATTGTCTCTATATACAAACTATGTTTGTGGTGAATAATTATGCTTGCAGACGGCTCTAAAACTGCAACTTTGCAACAATTTTCTCCCTTAACATTTTCCTGCTGCTAACATTTCGTTTGCAGATTCATAATACTCAAATTGCGTCGGTGTGGAAAGTGGCGTGGGTAGGAGGACTCAAGTGGGAGGGGCCCACCTGCCAAAATGGCCGAGCCACATCCTGGCACTCTGTCTTTGAAACCGAGTTAAGGTACTACACAGTAAGAAATATTTAGTAGGGTCTGTAGTCCTCGTAAGTAGATCTACATGCAAGGGCTGAGGCATGTTGTTTTATGTGATGTTGCTGTAGCGTTTAGAACCAGGCTGGAGAATACAGATATCCCTCGAGTAGCTTTAGATATAGAAAGCAGTCATTTCAGGTGAGTCGGCATTTTTTTCTTGTGTAGCTAGTTCTGAAGCTGCTAGAGCTATCACTCATTGGCATACGTAAGCATCAGAATTGCTGTAGACAGACAGACGGACATACACACATAAACCCTGTAGCTAATTAGCCCTTAATGCACTCGCTTGTTGATGGTGAAAAAGTTGTCACATGGTCATCCATGTACGTTATGCTTTCATTTCTGTCATTTAGCTCTATCACTTTTTCGTTTTCCTCCTGCTGTTTCCGTATGAAATTCAACAATGCAGAGAGTTTCCGTTGGACATGGCAGGATTTGCAGTCCACCTGTGCCAGCTGATGAAGCACCCCGAGGCCAGAATTGGCGTTAATATTCACGGGGACAGGTCCAAGGGTGGTCACCTGGAGACCGATTTCCTCCAGCACTTTGCAAACAAATCCAGTGTTGAATGCCGCGGCTCAGAAAGTGAGGTAAGCGCCTTATAATTATATTTCTGCATATTATTATCGGTTGGTGTGCATGGCATGCAAAATTGATAGATTACCCAATAAATTTTGTGATTTCATAAAATGTGCAAGCATTTATTAACCCTCAGTGCACATGCTGTTACAGTACTTTGTTTGTCTGTGTCTGTTTTAGCACCACAGGCTACGAGGCGTTCAATGAGCGATACCATCGGCTTCAGAGCTAGCTACGTACGACACTATAAAGGCTATTTACGATAATAACTGCTTCTTGGGCACCTCTCATAACTTACGTGCACAGAAGCTGCGACAATAGCAACGACTTTCCGGACACACCGCATGCCAGTAATAACAAGCATATTGCTTGCCAGTTGTTGTTTTACGCCAAGGTAATGCCCTGCACATGGTGGACACATGGATATGGTTGCAAGTACGAGGCAAGGTGAGGAAAGCTTTTCCATTTTTGCTCTTTTCAGTAAGTTTTTTGGGTGCATCCATTTGCGAAAAGCAAGTTTGAATAATGGGCAGCACATGTGTATAGGACATTTTATAAATTGGGGGCATTATTGTGCTAGGCAAAGGCATCTATTTTGGTTAAGCTGGTATTATAACGTATGCAGGGTTCTTCTTGCTAATTATTACAGACTTATGTGTGGCACTCCAAAACATCTTCTCCAAGCCTGTATGGCGAAAAGAACGGTCACTCAAGCAAGTCCGTCGAAACAAGATGACCAAAAAAAACAGTTTGTTTTGTTGTTATTATAGTATTCTCAGCGCCATCTGAACACAATACAATCTAAACAACCAATATGCACCGCACAACTTTTTTTGTGAGGAATGTCTCATGAAACTTCAGTGTGTTGTCATAATACAGTCGAGGACAGACAGAAAGCCTGTCCCGATTGATGCTAAACTAAAACACCTCTAACGTGGAGAAAAAACAACTGTCTCCAAGTGATAAACGACCGTAGAAACATTACAGACGAATTGCTCACTGTGAAATCAATATCACGGGGCCACACATAGCATGCAGATTGAGTGATGTCAAATGACTTCATACACTGAGGATACTCATCTCTCTGCTTCAACCCATTTACTATTTTGATAATGTAACTTCTTCAATGATGAAAACCACTAAGTGCACACCTTCGGCGCACTGCGCATGCATGGTACCACTAATTGATGGGTTGGGCCCATAGTATGTGTTTACTCGTGGTCTATGGGGCTAGCTACACTAGTAGATAGCATGCGGCCTTCACGCCCTTAGTTGTGACTCCTTGAGCCTCCAAGGTATGCAGAGCAGGCGGATCAGGTCGCGGTTATATATGCATATTGGGTCTTTCGCTTGTTTTTCACGGCATACCTCTCAAACGCAGTCGTTCTAGGAAAATCGCCTTTTTACTTTTCAGGCTCGCGTAGGTATGAAGTCATTGGTATCGCTTATAGGTCGCCTCGTGTGCCAGAATAAGCGTCGACAGACAGACACACACACAGACAAACTAAGTACCGTAACACTCGCTGCGTACAGCGTGCCGAGGGTTAACTCTAGTTGCCCATTCTGAGCCAGATCCTGCGGGGGTGTCTGATTCCATCATGTGGTTGTCACGTGCGGACCCCGTCACGGCGGGTCACGTGATGACACATGGTCGCCCTGTGCGGATGCCGCAGGTCACGTGGTAGGCCATGGGCTGCCTAACCTGGTCACATGACCCCCGTGAGCATCCTCTTGCTAATTACCGGGTTGGACACCCCCCGCGGCATGCTTCCGGGCATAAGCTGCATCCAGTTCTTCCAACTACAACGTTGGTGCCCCAGCTGACGGGATCTGTCTTGGACTGCTTCAGATGAAACATAAGCAGGAGAGGTGGAGTCTTCCGTGGAAGCCGGACTGTTTGGTGAGCACAAGTTCGCCTAGGCGGAAAAACCCGAAGAAGGCGGTGCAGCACACGGCCCATAATACCAGCAACGGTTTTATGTTGAGTAAAGTAGCAGTTATAGGCAGGCGGACCCTCGAGGGTTGACCCCGACCGAGGCGGGACCGACTGATCCCTGCCTGTCTATCTGAGTCCGATGCGTCCGGTTCATGGGGTTGTGGTGCTTGGTATGGGCACAGCTGGTTCCAGCTTCAGTGGGATAACAGGTCCGCTCATCTCCCCATCATGGTGAAGGAGCTCCTCCCGATCTTCATGGCTTGGGGACCCATGTGGTCGTTTGCCTCTGCAACAATCAGGCTGTCGTGGCATGTTCACGCTCCCGCACGAGCCTGTGGTGCTAAGCCGGCGTCGACCATAAATTCCGCGAATAAGCATAGAAGGCCCTCGGTAATTGGGAACGGGTCGAGCACCTGGAAGTGCTCACAGAATGTGGTGAACTTCTTCATGGCTGAGTCGTAAGAGCGCCTGGTACAGGGGGCGAGCCCGTCCCTGAAGTAGCGCTGAACAGCTGGAGCCAACGCGGCGAGGCCCAGTCGAGGGTTGGGTCAGGAGAAGATCCAAAAGGTGTGCTGGCAGTGGGGTCGCCTGGGAGTCGGTGTGTGGGACCTTCGAAAGAAAGAGAAGAAAGAAGATCCCTTGATAAGTCATCAGCCGAATGGTTTGACTTGGTGTCAATAATATACTGAGGGGTAAGTGAGAACGTGTATCTAGCTTCTATAAAGGCGCAGTATATGAGCATGTGCATAACATGGGCCACTCGGCTCGTGCGGGAGCGTGAACATGCCACGACAGCCTGATTGTTGCAGAGGCAAACGACCACGTGGGTCCCCACGCCATGAAGATCGGGAGGAGCTCCTTCACCATGATGGGGAGATGAGCGGACCTGTTATCCCACTGAAGCTGGAACCAGCTGTGCCCATACCAAGCACCACAACCCCATGAACCTGACGCATCGGATGCCATCTGAAGACGGGGAAGGTAGGAGGGGGAGAGAAAGAGATCCCATTCCAGCTCGCTACGAACGTGCGCCACCACATCAGGTCTGACCGGAAGTCCCGATTCAACTGTATTGGGTGTGGCCGTGTCTGGGTGTGATGGCATGGCATGGAGCAAGTCGAGGATCCATCGGAGAAAGGAGCAACCGGACCGAACCACCTTGCATGCATCAATGAGAGATTCAAGTTCCGTCGCAGACTTCCGGTTACCCCATTCAGCTAAAAGAGTTTTGAGGCGGTGAAGCTTAGCTGACCAAGGGTGGTGTCGATCTCGATGCCGAGAAAAGTCAGGCATGTCGTGGGCCCGTCCTACTTGTGGTCCACAATCAGGATGCCAAACTGGGAGCACATCTGGTCTAGGGTTGCCATGGCCTCTGCACACACGGTGGAGCTGGGAGGGCCGATGACGATAGTTGTCCAAGTAGTGGAAAATGTGTTTGACACCCCGATTCCGTATGCACCACTCCAGGGCGTCGGGGCCAAACAGAGACCAAATGGCAGCATGTATAACATCCCATCCCATGCAATGGGCGGTCCAGCAGGTGGACTGGAATAAGGCGATAGGCCGACTCGATGTCGATTGTGGCGAGAAGGGCTCCTCGCAGGTAGGTGGCTGCCACAGTTGCCACTTGCTTCACAGTGGAGTACTTCAATGAGCACAGGTCTGGGTCGATGCCGTCGTTGACACTGTACGATGGAGGGTACGAGAGATCTAAATTCAACCTCCATTTCCCTGTGTTGTGGCCCTTGGGGGTTACCCCAAACCGGTTTACGTAGAGCAGGGGTAACTGGGTGACCACAGAGGGTAGGAAGGGGCCGAGCATGCAACTCAGAGTGCACTCATTGGTGAGGTAAGCTTGCACGACCTCTGGGTGCTGCAGAGCGGACATCATTTTACGTAGTGGCAGACCGTAGCGAGGCATCGTCACGAAAGCCGATCAGGAACCCCTCTGTCATGCCCCGTAACAGGTATCGCACGAACCCCCTGTCCGTAAGGAAGTTGGGACTAGAAGAGAGTGCACCATGCTGAGCAGAGGGTGCACTTCTGTCCTGGAGCCGGAGCAGGTGCCCATAGAGCGCTTGTCTAGACTGCAGTGTCGTGGGTTCGAATCCCACCAGGGCAACTCTTAGAAAAGAAAGACCTGTCCTGGGTGTAGTTGACTTCTTTGCCTTGCCTTGCCTTTCTACCTCGCTACCAAGTTGAGACATGCATAAGTATATCTCTGGCTTGGGAGTTGGGTCATTGGTGGTTTAATTTACCCCGGTCTGCTCCTACATACTGAGTGAGGTGTAAGCACAGTGGTTGAGGTTGGGCTGTTGTGTTGAGATTTGAACCCCTACAAGCTGAGTTGCCCTGGTAGTCCTTGGTACGGCGCTCGCCTAGACTGCAGAGTTGTCGTCGTGGTTGAATCCCACCCAGGGCAAATCTTCTAGAGCTGCCGGGGTAGTGATTTGCTTGCCTTGCATTGGCCTTGAAGTTCGACCTCGCTACAAAGTTGTGAGACCATTGCACGCAACTAAGGGGTACTTGTAAATGATCCCCACTCTGTGGTGATATCAGTGATATTAGCAATCGCGGGGTTGTTTTTCCTTTCTTTTTCTTTTTCTTTTTTATCTATATTATATTTATATAATGAGCCAAGCATGAAGAAGTGAATAGCTAGTAGAATGCTATTAAATGAATGTGTCTGTAGCTGCAGTTTAGCTAGGAATAGTAAGTGGGCTGCTGTGCTGCCCTGGTTCGCTGTTTGACGTTACTGCTGCTCCGAGCCACGGTTGTCCATGAAAGCGGGTAATGGGGCGGATGAAGGGAGGGAGGGTCGGAGGCTTGGCTGGGTGGGGGGTGCGGCTATGTGCCAGAGACCCTCGGCCTGACGATGGCTGCCTATTCGGGCAGTTGACAGCCGCATGTGGGCTGGAGATGTCGGTGCATACGTGCAGGTACATCTGGTGAAGCAGCAACGGTTGCCGTTAAAAGTTCTGCAGACTTCCTGAGACTCAGTGGCCTGCGCTTGGCCTGCCCAGATGCGCCGGCCGAACTGGAGGTGGGGGGTGCCCTGGAACCACCCAACGAAGGGTTGTGGTTGGCGGTTAAGTGAGGAACAGGCCTGCCACCGTGTGTCTCTGAGAGGCAATGAGGGCATGCGGGTGCCTCTGGCTCGCCACAGGAGCGATCTCACGGTAGAGCTCTGGTTGGGAACAACCATGTCGTGAAGGTTCTTCGCCGCCAGCATCTCGCTGGCTTGATAGTAGAGATGGTTTGTGTGCAGACCAGTGCGCACCTCGTAAGTGTGGGCTGCATGGATGAGGGTGTCTGGTTGCCAGAGCTCAGTAGCCTTCTCGGGAATCGGGAGGTGAGAACGCCATAGAAACTCAAGCAGGAGCAGAATGGAGTACGGCGGCGGCTGGGACGCGGGACGGCAATGCCGTGTCTGCGGAGACGGGGTCCATCGGGCCGATGTCCGCCCGAGAGCGCGCATTTCCACTGACACTCGTGACGCAAGGAGTTCTGGACACCTGGAA